CACGAGAGGCGTGATGCTTCTGACTTTTGCTTCTTGACCCACATACTTGCCTCACTGCCCCACCTCCTATATTTGGTTTAGCTTGAGGCTCAGGCAGCGAAGGAAAGAGCACTAATATTTCATTTTCTAGATGTCTTTCTACTTATCAGTCAAGTCACCTAGATTGGAGCCACCTTGGTACTAGGTTAGGCTGGGGAGTCCTCCCTTGAATCAAGTCAAGGTGAGGGCCCTGTGGGCTGAGAAATTTACAGCTCCCAGCCATTCAGTGTAACCTCCAAAACGCCTAGAGTAACTAGCTCGGGGTTGAGAAGTTAAGGGTTTTGTGTTTAGGTCCCCTCCTCAGTCCTGCAGAAGCAAGGAGAATCAATCATTCTGATATGCTGGCACCAGTGGCAGTTCAATGTGGGAGTAAAGGTTAATGAGTACTAACGGCTACTGAAGTTGGTTGCGATGCCTAGGGCCTCTGCCAGACAATGTCTCTGGGCTACCCGTTTAACTTTGTTATCAGATGCCGGCAGTCTTCCAGTGCCCATGCCTAAGAGCCGATGAAGGGTTTGGGGGTTTAGGGCTTTGCTTATTGATTCTGCTCCCTGTGCATGGTTCCGTAAAGCATTGGAATTCCTTTGAGCTTCTGATGATGCAAGTACTTGCCCGGCAACATGCTCAGCCCGGTTGCGAAAAAGGGGTTCAGGGCTCAGGGTAACCATCATGTCCACATTAGTGAGGACAACCGTGCAAAGATAAACGTACAACTCTGATGAGTGAGCCCTGACCTCAGGCGGCCGCTGAAGTCCATGCTATGCGTGTCAGAGGTCGGAGAGCAGTTTTTTGTTGCTTTGACTGAGAAGTCCAAGGTCGTGATGATGAGGGTCTTACTGCGAAGCATACAACTGGTACAATGGAACCATGTTACTTGGAGACATGACCCATTGTAGTCCTGTTGATATAGCCAACAGAAGTGGACATTCAAAGTAGGTCTCTTGACTTTTTTCAGCAGGAACTTGCTTGTTTTCGAGTTGATTTGCTTGATACTCTTGAGCTACAAGAGTCACAACTGTCTGCAGCACGCTGCCTTGTACCAAACTTTCTTCTCCCATACCCGCTGATAAGACTTCAAGTCTAAGCATTGAATACCTCTTTAGGAAGCATCTTGCTGGGATTGCTTTCTAACAAGGCTTATGTCAAGGCCCGCAGACTTTTTGGCAGCCTAGGCTAACACTTGATGTAACCTTTCTGGAGGAATCGTGGGGATGAACCCGGGACCCGAAAACCTTTGATGCACAGATCCTGGAGTTTGAGCGATCAATTGCAGCAAACTAACGATTTTTGAGGGCCGAGGCTTGAGGTAGAAGTGTTCCCATTGAGGTAATATTCTTATCCCCCTATAATGGAGAATCAAATGGACAAGAAACTGGAAAATGAAATGGAAACTGCGGTTATAGGGTAGTTTATGTAAGGGTTATATTGGGGTTATATTGGGATAATGAAAAAGAAAGTGGCAGCTTCTAGCAACCTGTCCATGTGCAGATCGCGTAGGTTTGAAAGTCATCCTGTGTTTTTTTATGGGGCAGGATACCCCAACTCCCAAAACGCCTGGTTAAGACCTGAACCGACTAGTTCCCCTTCATTGAAAAGCCCGACACCCGAGACTAAGAGTAAGCCCAGACTTAATCCCTAAATGTCAGTCCCCTGCCTTGTAAATGGTAAACCCTCAAAGCCCTAAGCCGTACACACCGCAGAGACCCATACACCAGATCCTGATAACCTTAACTCCTCAACCCTATCAGCCGTACACCCCCAAAGAGCTATCAACGCCCTGAGCCCGCAACATCTATTTTCTGAAGCCCTAAAAACGCTCTATGCCTTTGAGCTCGTTTAAAACCCTGAACCCTGACACCCTAGAAGCATTAAATCATAAGCCCTAAACCCTCCAACCCTCAACCCCGAAACCTTAAAGATCCTAAACCGTCTAAAGCCCTAAGCCCTCAAACCCCTAAACCCTAAATAGTAGTTTCCATTTTATTTTCCATTATCCCAATATAACCCCAATATATATATATATCTCCGATAATCTTTACAAAGCCCATTATAGTAGTTCCATTTTATTTTCCATTATCCCAATATAACCCCAATATAACCCTAAATCTTGAACCCTAAACCCTGACATAACCCCAATGTAACCTCTATATAATTTATACTAAAATAAGTTGGAGGAACGCCTCGGTGCCTCAAAAGGGGCACCTGGTCTGGAGCCTGGGGTGAGGATTTTCCACTCGTTTCGGGGTTTAGGGTTTAGGGGTTTAGGGGTTAGGGTTTAGGGTTTAAGGGTTAGGGTGTAAGGTTATTTAGGGCTTAGGGTTTACGGCCTCAGGGTCCTGATCCAATAGGTTTCTCATTGAAATTCTGGTACTGGGAACCTCAACTAAACAGAGTTTGGGGTACTAAATCATACTGTAGGTTTCTTAGACAAATTATGGTACAGAGAACCTCAAATTCTCAAGAACATTGGTAATCTGTTAGGCTTCTACATTACCTGTTTCGGGGTGTTTCCAAAGGTCCAGGGGATTAAGGGCTTGCAGGAATTCCGAGGATGTAGGTCTTTGGGAGCGAGAGCTCCTGGGGTTTGAGGGTTCTGCGGGGTTTGACTACATGTGTATAATCCCCTTTAAGTAGATAGAATATAGCTTTGGGTATATTATAATAAGATCCCCATATATATCACATACCCTATCTACTTAAAGGGGACTAGAATCCTAAACCCTCAATCCTAACCCCTAAATAGTAATTTCCATTTTCTTTTCCGTTATCTTAATATCACCCTAATATATTCGATCTACTTAAGGGGGACTGGGGGAATATAGGCATCCCAAACCCTAAACCCGCCCTCAAGCCTTAAACCCAAGCCCTTATCAAGGCACGGCTTCAACGGGAGTAGACTGATACGGCTTTACACAAATGATCGGAGTCAGTATGGGCGCTTACCCTAAGGGTCCAAGGGCCCCCAAAAATGGGGCTTTAGGGCCCAAATATCATGAATGTTATAGTATGTGGGCCCTAAAGCCCGATTATTTGGATCCTTGGACGCAGATTCACGAGGCTGGGGGAGGGTTCAGAGATTCAGCTGTGGGGATTTGCAGCATTAACAAACAAAGTGTGCTGTACCATTTGCGTGTGACTTGCTGTGTAGGATTTCAAAGCTTGTGAATGGCCGCTGAGACATGCGAAAAGCCACCGCCATGTTTTTCTTCATTCCAACCTCGACTGGTGACATTGGTGTCAATGTCTGTGTCTTGGGGGTTCGTGACGGGGGCTGACAACAAGCATGTGCCGGGTGCAGCTTGGGACAGAAGTATTTGCCCTTTGGCGTGGCCTGGCCTGCTATTCCACAATCTTTGAGGAGGGGTCGGAGAAGGGGTTGCCAGAGTCTGTGGTTCTGTGTCCCAGCTGTCTGTGGGAGGCATTTCATTACCCCATGCACCAAACAAGCTCAATGTTTTGTAGCTCTTCACAAACGTCGTATGCGCTTGTGGGCAGCATTGTGCTAGTGCCAAGTTAAAACCTTCAGCCTTATGCTACTCTGGTAAATGGAACTACTGTCTCGCAAGAAGTTGCTTTTGTCACCTGCAGGGGTAGGGAGATTGTCAACATGTGGTGCGCTAAGAGACCACGTAGCGCGGTAGATACGGATTCGTCAAGCAGGCAATTTGAAGATTAAATAATCCGGGAGGCTTTGTGAGAAATTCCCAAGCTGAGTGACATTCATGATGCAGACTTACCCTAAACCCTACACCCTTACCTTCTTTCCTTGTTTTGGCTCACGAAGAAGTACTGTTAGCCGGGCCCTTTTGGTCCTTCGGAAACATGCCGCGGCCTTAGGCTGAGCTTGAGATGTGGGGTTTCCCAAATTTAGGGGTACCTTTGATGAAGGGGATATACGGGTTATATGGGAATGTATAGGGCCAAGGGTTTCCCATACTAGGGGTATCATACTGGGGGCCACTACAGGCAGGATTATAGTATTTTGGGTTTATGTTTGGGGTACCCTACTTTGGGGAAACCACCCTGTGGGCGCTGGACAGCATCTGAACATGTCCGGTAAATGTGGTCCTTGTTAGAGCCATAATCTAAGCTCCTTTAAAGGTGTTGCAAAAGGGATTCTCAAGGAGACTGCTATAGGGTTTTCAAGGGGAAAACTAGGAGTTTGGACAACATATACCCCATATAACCCATTATAGTAGTTTCCATTTTCTTTTCCATTGTCCCAATATAAATCCAATACAACTCAATAAAATCCAACAAAACCCAATATAGTCCCAACATAACCCCAATACCCCTACATCCAGAAGACCCTGGCAACTCAGAAGCAGTCATCCAGCAGCGAGGCTCAAGTCGTAAAGCGCCGCAAAGCTGCAGAAGCAGCATCACAACTTGGTTGCTGCTAAGGAACTTAAGTTAAGTTGCCATCATGGATTATATTGAGATAATGGAAAGTAAAACGGAAACTACTACATAGGGTTTAGGGTTACCATAATGGGTATATATAGCAAGTAATAGGATTTCTCCAATATAGTAACTTGAGTTAGATTGCTGAACAGCAGCCCAGGCAACGTGGGGGATGCGTTGTGATGCCTGGTATCCAGGGGGCCTCTATATTTGTATTCCATCGCAGCAGCAGGCGGTAGCCACTTCACCGGCACGGTGTGCAAATGTATGGCCCTAAGCCAAATGTAACACTGCTGACTTCTGAACATTGACCGGGGATGGTCCCTAAAGCAACAAGAGAGAAGAAGAGCGCGAGCAGATCGAGAAAAACAAGTGTTGGACTTTGGTGATGCTGTCAGGTCAAGGGCTCCTTTCGATGGCTGCGTCTCACAAGGTTTTTGTTTTGTTGATGGCATCAGCATGCGCATACACAAACGTGAGCACATGTTAGGCAATGTTTTGCCCAGTGCATCACTATGTCTGGGTTCCTTGGCCCACTACTGAGGCCGCCGAAATTAATGCGGCGGGCCGACACCGTCTATGCCCTGGATGGTATCGAGGATGAGGGAAGGGCTTAGGGTTCAGGGATGTGGGTGACTTGTGTTTTTTTGTTGTGGGGAGGCATGCCTTGAGGATCAGTGGCCTCAAGGCTTTGATGGTATTTCGGACACATCCCCATGGCAAGCGGTCTTCCATCCTGAGTTTCGAGGGGGTTCTGAGCACGTGTGCTTGACACTATTTGGTATTTAGAGACACAACAGCCAAGTAAGTGCAATATTATTGATTTTGAAAGCCCAGGGTTCCCACCCTGCAGGTCAAAACCATAACTAGCCATAAACCTTAATCACTAGCATGTCAGAGCCCGGCCGCCCTGAGGGTTTAGATTTCGGGGTTTAGTGTTTAGCGTTTGGGGTTTGGTGTCTTCAACTGATTATGCAGCAAGTGTTCCTTTGCGCCGCAGACTCTGCGCATCACAAGCTTGAAATTTGGCCTGACGCTTGCTGGACAACAGCTGACTGGGGCTATATAGCAAGGAATATAAGGGAACAAGTTATATAGGGGTTACATGAGGATGATTTCCCTTGTTCCCACTAACTACCTGTAAGACGGGGGCCTGGTATGCAACTATTCAGCTGGCTTCTACCCCATTACGCCCCCGCCAGCAGGAGTGAAAGGTCAAGGTGGCGTATTTCGTCACTGTAGAGAGAGCAGTCCTCCTAATCCGGAAGCAGATACGTCCTCAAACATATGCGCACCCTAGCAAATTGAGCTCTGCATTGCTTTCGCAGGATCAAGAGGAGAGCAGCAGTTCGGAGGAAGAGCCTGTGAGGCTCCTTGCACGACCACTATGATTAGTTTGGGCTTTTGAGGAGCAGGGATTTGATTATCCTTGTCATTTCTGGTCATAACCCTGGTGGCTATAAGGATGGTGCTAAGATTCATATTGCAGTCTGCAGTGGCGAATCCTGGCAGAAGCGGTCTTCAATACGATCATCATCATGATTGCTGTTCTCATTGATTTGTTGGTCCAGCTGTCCGTCCCTATTCTTCCAAAAGGAGATTCCGTGCTAGAAATCCCGGATCTTGGGGTTGTTGTCCTGCGCGGTTCCAGATTAGGGGATTGCGGCTCGGGAAGTAAAGTGAGGTCCAACGCCTGGACCGCATCTGAGTCTGCGGTTTACAGCCATCAGGGCGTTGATCCCAATTCATGCCTTACCCTAAGGCTCCATTGATCCAGATAGCTGCAATGTATTACTCTAATAAAGGCGGAGAATCAGATGGAAAAGCAAATGGAACATGAAATTGAAACTGGGAATTTCTACGGATGTATAAAGAATCCAAACAGACCAATGTAGGTCACACTTGTAGACTTGCGGGCCCACAGTCTCATTTATAGACATGAAGCCCCGGGGCTAGTCATGGACAGACCATGCGTCTGTAGCATGCTGCACGCCACCTTTGTAGCACTGTCAAATTGCAAGGTTTGTGTGCGGTGTTTCCCGGTTCCTTCAACGGTCACGCATTGCATTTTGTCAGAAGTTGCCTAGTCCTAGTGTTAGCCATTGCTGCAAGTGATTGCACCCTGCATTGGTTTGTCAGAGAAGAGCACCCGTTTCTACAAGATTATCGGCCTTCCGACTTCTGAAACTTTGTTCAAAAATCTATAGCACGCTTTCGATCCCTGTAGAAGCTTGAACCCTTGAACCCCAAACCTGGAACCGTAAACACAACATGAACCCCGTTCAGCGGTGGAGCCCCAATTTCTTTTCCAGGCGAGAAGTACGCGAGTCGATTGTGGACCGCGCCGTGCGCAAGGCGCTATCCAAGACTCAGGGTGGTGCGTGCTCCTTCTTCTAAGCGTGCCTGGCTTGCTTCTGCTTCCCAATATCTAGAGCTTCCCTACAACTGTCACATCAACCGACAGACTTGGGTCCTACAATGGCGACCCCCCTTTTTGTGAAAGTGTGATGTTGAAAGAGCTTTGGTAACCCCACCCCGATTTGAGTACCCTCTAAGATGCCTACGATAGCCATAGTGTCCCTATTTTGGGTGTTGGGGTAACCCAAATCCCCTGTTACCTTAAAACCCAAGCCCTAAACGGTGTGTTGAGGTGACCCCAATCGCTTAGATGGACCCCCCCCCCCACAGTAATAGCGACTATCAGGGAAAACTGTGATTATATTAGGGTTTCCTATTATACCACTATTTCAGGGCAGGGGGTCCACCTAACCAATTCCCTGATTCGGAAGGCACTGCTTAATCCTAAACCCTAAGCCCTAAACCCTAAAACCCACTGTGGTATGTACTAGTATGATATGAGCTATAGTTTAAACTCCTAGAATCCCCCCTAACCCCTATAATACTCCCCTGTATAATCCCCTATGAACCCCTTTGAAGGAGTTTAGACCCTAACTCCTAAACCTAAATCCAAAACCTTAAATCGTAAACCCTAAAATCTAAACCCTAAACCCTAAACCCTAAACCCTAAATCCAAAATGTGTTGGGAGGCAATCCTGAAAGGGAAGCTCGAGCCGGAGCTTTGGACGCGGACTTTCTGGTTTCGCATCTTGCAGCAGATGAGACATAGGTTGTAGGCGTTGTAGGGGGCTTTATAGGGTATAGGGTTTAGGGATAAGTCCCCTAAAAATGGAGTTAGCGGTTTATGGGGTTTAGGGTATGTGGGGGGTACCGGCAATCGCAATTTTTTGCGATGCTAAGAATAAGGATTATGGTGCATTGGGGTCCTCTTGCTTAAGGAAAGCATCTTGTCCTGTGATCAAGAATTTCAGGGCTTAGGGCTAACAGGGCTTCAGGAGGTTTAAGGGCTTTAGCGTTTTCAGTTCAATCTCTTCCTCCTGAATTAGGCACCACCACGTTGAATTCTTCTCAAGGAAAGCCACATATCGAGCGCGGGTAAGGCTTATAGGGCTGAGAATAAACCTTTCCACCCCCCACTACTGAACACTCCCCCTCATGTATAATTCTACAATATTTGAATCGTAGGTCTTTATTTTTACGGAGCGAGGAGGTTGATTACGAGGGAATTGGTTCTGTAGGTTAGGAGAAGTCACCGAAGCCAAAGTTTTGGCATTTGCGCTTGATGATATAGGGTTATCCCCAAATCCTTAATGCTGAGAAGAAGCGTTGTGCCCCTGTGTAGAGCTAGACGCCTTCGCCCAAACTAATTGAAGCAAACAGCTTCCATGTCTAGCCACGCAAACCAGATTCTTCTCTTGGTTCGCCCCATTGTTTTCTTTGGGGACTGTTCTAGTGGGCGAGCGCGTCTTACATGCTCTTTTGACTCAAGTCCAAGTCCCCGTATCTTAGCACAAGGGCGTTTACTGTTTCCCGATGAAGTTCATTGAACACCAAACGCTAGATAAGCTGGTAGTTTCTCCTTTGGTTTGCCATTCCCCCATGCAAATCCCTATAAGCCCTTACTAGGGGAAGAGGTGAGAATCAAGGGCAGGATAAACTTCCACAGGCGCCCACAGTACAAGCTTCCAACCGAAGAGAGGATTGGTCCGCTATCCAAGAATGAATGGAGATCATACATTGACCTGCGGAAACTTAGTTACCCCATCACCGTAAAACTGGGACTTTATCATAGTCGTATGATAGTTATGGGGTCCTTATCTTAGGGTTGGGATAATTAATGCTACCCCATGTACATAGCTGTTAAGAAGGGCTCGTGCCATCTCATTGCTATGCTGCCAGAGTCAGATGGACACTGGTTTTCCCGACTTGCAAAACCTTTGAATCCGATGCTTCAGCGCTGCCGGACGTGCAGACAAGCATGCTCCAGGCTGCTTTGAGATTTCTGCGCAGTCCCTACATGCCCCTATGTAGGAATCATGGTCCAAAAAATTGCGGGCTGTTAATTTTCTCGAGGACTGTCAAACTATGCTCAGCGAAATGATGGTAGCTGAACCATGCCTTCATGCGCAAGGCTCAAAGCACCTAGAAGGGTCCTTGTCGCTCAATACCCTTATGTAGTTCAAACGGACACTCTCATTGCATGCCCCACATCAGCTCAGCTGAGGATTGTACCTGGCCGTCATTGGCATTGTCAACGTGGTGGTGCGCCGGGATGCAGCGTTGGCTAACGCGAGTGCAGTGCTTTCAAACCAAGTCCTAGGTACCTACTATAACCCCAATTATCTGCCCTATTTTAATGCAGTATTTCCATTTTCTTGTCCACTATCCATATATAACTTTGATATGTTTGTATACATATCTCTATATGTATATATGTATACATATATATATATACACACACACACACCCTTTTTCCCTTTGTCATCCTGGAAACACGCCACCAAGCATGATAGCCCTACCCACTGGTTTGGGGAGACTTTGCCCTGCGTCCTGTGTTTTCTGTTAGAGTGAGTTATAACCTCAATTCCTTAAACGGGGATTGTATAGGGCGGATCTATTGGGGTTATGAAGTGGGATGCTAGGAGTTTAGACTACAGCGCAAGTGATTCTGCTGAATATACTTCAACACATTGCAGCGATTACCACGCCGAAGTCCCACCCTAGCAAACTCCAAGATCCTGAAGGCCTAAGCCTGAACTTTCAGTCTGTCATGTCTTGCCGTTCCCTGAGACCCTGAGACCCTTGCACTTTAGGCTTTAAGGTCATTGAGCCTCAAGCGACCTGTCTCCAAATTCTTGAGCTTTCGCCAGAAAGACATGATGCCTGCAAAGCAGAAGCTAATGTGCCACAAACTGAAGAGGTTTTCGCTATGCCCCCGAGCACGCATAGTGCACTGTGTCCACTATTCTGAGATGAAGGAGTCGACCATTTGAACAGTGACTTGGTTCGTAATCGCAAGAGCGCTGGGGATTACATGTCTGTATGTTCGCCAAACAAAGCCAAGAAATCATTCCCTAAACCCTCAACCCTAAACCCAATTGCCTTTAGCAAGCGTATCACCAAAGTCCTGCAGGTGATGGCATTGGAAACTGATTTCGGCTGTCAGCACCTTGGGGGAGTGGATAGCGTAATGCAGAAACTCTAGTAGGAACAGAACCTGCTGAGCTTCCTGACATTGTCATACCCATAACAAAAAGAGTACGGGGCAAAAGCGGGCTGCCAACAGATGGGCTTCAAATTTCTCAGTTGGTGTACGTTCATAGCCCCAAGACCGATTCTGCTTTTTAATGCGATACTGATGCGTCAACTACGAGTGGTTGATGGGTTCAAGAAAGCGGGGCATTTCGGGTGTTGTGGCAAAAATGGATGTTATGGGTCAATCAGGAGGTCAGTAACATATTTGTTTTAGAAAGGTGGATTGCAAACAAAACCGCGTTTTTTTGGTCCTTGCTTCAGGTAAATTAAAAAGCAGGTAATGTCCCGTTTGTAGATTATGTTTTGGGCTGTCGTCTCGCTAGGACTCTTCCGCAAAGTTCTTATAGGAGTGTACTGACATGCGTGTTGCCCTACGTCTATCCTTCAGTGCTTACCTAAACCCTAAACCCTTGCTAGTACTTCATAGCAGGGCAAGCCGCTGGTTTGCAGCCAGCTTTCTTCCCCTACAAGGACAATAGCCACCAGGAGTACTTGCAGGGCCTCAGCACGGCATTGTGAACAGTGCGAGCCCCCAAAATACCTTACGCTCAAGAGTGAATTCTACATATGCGCAACCGTAGTGCTTTTGTTCTGCAAGGAAGCATGTCTATTCTTTTCGCTGTGTAAGGAAGCATGCCTTTTTCTTTCAGGCCTTATTCTGCATAGTTTAAAAAGACATTCCTAACAGATGCCCTTTCCGAGGGGTGATCAGGGGTACACAGGCAGTCTGAATGTACATCAGAACCGAACCTTTGCAACCCGAACCCTTGTGCTTCAAACGCCAGCTTGAAAAAAGTGCATGTACGACAGCCTGCACGCACTGACATTGGGTAAACTGGTGAGCTTCCATGTTTCTATCTTGAGGTCACACCAACCACTGCCCAGAAGCCTTCATCGGCATCTGGCAGGACGACTGGGCCAGAGTAGTATTTTGAGCCTTTGCGAGATCGTGGGTGACTTTTTGTTGGGCATTTGGCCCTCAACATTTTTCCAGATGAGCCCTGTTTGTTAGTGAAATTGATTAAGCACTCCGCTTTCTATTTGTGAGGGCTGCGCTTCATGAAAGGTTTAGTGTTCAAGACGGAGGACTAGGCTTATCAGAGACTTGAGCACAAGTGACCCGAGTAGCCAGGGAATTGGACAATCATCTCTGAAAATGCTGTTTCAAGAAAGGTGCATCATATCATTCTTAAGAGCCTCTGCTCAATCACCATCTACCTGTAGGGAAGGCGTTAGAAGACATCCATGTGGCATACCCTGCAACGTGGCCACACAGGCGGTTGCAAAGCCACCAACTTCGATACCCCCATCGCAGTCAATTTTGGGAGCTTCTGAAAGCTTAGGGCCGTTAGGGACCCAAAGCTTCTGCTCAGATTTCTAGAATCCCAATATACTATATCGTAGTTTCCATTTTCTTTTCCATTATCCCATTGTAGCTACTTCTATTATTAGTACCAGTATTAGTACTATTATTAAGTGTTTTGTGAAAATTCCAGCACAGTGATGAGAGCCGACGTCTGTAGTACATCCGCCAGGAATCCTATCAGTCCGCTTTGGCATCCACATATGGTGAACCCAGGTTCCTTCTCACGTCGTGTATGCCAACCCCATCCTGAATGGAGGCATAGATAAATTCATCATGCCGCATTCGCCATGAGCATTGACTCGCACCTCCAGTAACTGTAGAAGTCTGATGGCGTAATGCCTTGAACTCAACGCCAAATGCAGGGCATGGAGCAAGTCATGACGGTCGCTTGGCTACATGATCAGTGCTGGTCCTTGTCTGTTCCGTGGAAGCTGCTGGTTGTCGGGGTATAGGACTCAGATGAATCAAGATGGTGAGTCTGATGCAGCGTGAGTGCTAAGACGGGGATCCCATCACCTGATCGTGTAAAAGGGGACCTTTCTTAGAGCGGTAGCCCCATATCCCCAGTTTCCATGTCATTTTCCATGTAATTTTCCATCATAGGTTCCATTTGATTCTCCATTATTGGTGTAATATCCGTATTTATCCCATATTATACCATACATACCATAATATGCCATAGTACACGATAATATACCATCATATATTACCCCTTCAATATACGATAGCCAGGTTGCCATATCAGAAGCATGTGTGACCGCCAGCGCTGTGCCGATTTGATAGTTTCCCTAAACAGGGGCCCCCAATATAGACCCCAAAGTCTCATAGTCCTTATTATAGGGAAAGCTACCCATAATTTTGGGAGACCCCATTTGGGTTGAGCAAGTGTGGCTTAAGATCTAGGATTGGGTACCAAAAGTTTACTGGCATTATCAGATCCTTCCCAGCACCAAACGGATTGTTCTTTGAAGGTTATCCTACTCAACCCAGCCCAAAAAGGGAACCCCTAATTACACTCTTTGTAGTAAACCGCCATCTTGTGGCCAGGTACCTCACAGGCCTTGTTGTTGCTACAGCAATCTGGTACTTGTAGTCCTTGAAACTTGAAGAGTAGATTTAAGGCTAAATCTCAAAGCGTACAAGAGCGGAAAGCAAGCACCTAACCCAGGGCTTCTTTGTCCTGGACGTGGCAGCTCGCATGTGGGAGGCTTGCTTTCTGTTTTAGACTAGGATTAGAGGCAAACTTGAAGCTTCAGTGTCGGAACAAGGCAATATCATGCAGTGCACGGTGTGCCCTGTAAGCCTATGACATCTACTCCTGAGAGCGGTTCCAGTGGGCCTCTGGGCAGTGGCGACATGCCACATTGTTTCCTCAATCTTCCATTTTAAACGCTAGCAAAGGCGTTTGGGGGCGAGCTCATACCACCTTTTTGAAGCAGTGGCGGGTACAGTCTCGGAAGCCCTAAGCTTTGAGCAATCATCTTTCAACTACCCTCAGCGTGGTTCATGCCAACATTTCTGGCAAGTCCCTATTTGGGTTATTTTAAATGCAAGGCCCCACCATCTTTCATCTTGCGTTTCAGTGCTCATGGTTAGTCCAGCCGTTTGCTCCGCGTGTTGATCTGCAAAGCCCTTCATTTGATATGAGGCCATGGACTTTTCAGTTTAGGGTTTAGGGTTTAAGGGATTTACAGATCTTCTGGGAAGGTGGCTGGAATTCCGCATCTTGAGGTTCAACGAGTTCTCTAAGAGTAGCCACCAAGGATTAATCAGGTGTAAACCTATGGGGCATGAGAGTGGCGACATGGGCTTTGAGATCCTGAGCGGCTGCCGGCTAGAATCATTGCTATTTATTGTTACGATGATTATTCTCCGGGCAACTTAAAGCGACCTCGCCCGACCTCACCCTGAATGGTGGTTTATGTAGGGGGTAGTACCAAGGTGGCCTTAAATTGGGAATTGAAATTATCCTAAATTACACTGTATTCTGGCTATTCGTATCTTTATCCGTTGTGCGTGATTATGATTAGTCTTACCATATAGTCACTACAGTCGTTGCTATTCTTGGTTCCCTTCTGCAATTCCGAGACGAGTCCCTCACGACCCTAAGCATCGACGGCCCCAAGCTACCCCTGCGAGATTGTCTTGAAAGCAAAACGGAGCATGCGGTTTAGGGTTTAGGGTTTGAATTATCTGCCGGGAACCCATAATCAGGGCTACCACCCTGCGGTTTAGGGTTTGGGTGAAAACTTCCCCTAAGCACTGCCACTGCATAATCCCAGCTTCCACTTTCGTTTGCGATTTGATTCCCTACATATAACTATATAACCCCTGTATTTCTTAGAGCAGCCCTATATCCCATATAGTTGCCAGCAGTACTCGAGTGGTAGAGAAAGTTAGCGTCGAAAGGCAAAGCCCCGCAGATTCTTCAAAGGCGACGAGACCAAGGCCTTTGTTTTGCATAGCACCCTCCACACAAAGGGGGTCATGAACAGGGTTAGGCATACATGGGTCAGGCAGCAGCACGGGTTGAAGAACAGACCTGGGCTTCCTAGGGCTCAGGATTTTTGTTCAGGGTTGAATTTGGGAGGAAACCCACTACCTGACAGCACACTGCTCACATGAAGCGAACATTGGAACCACCATAGAATGTAGCAATTTCTATTTCCGCTGAGATGGAACAAGTAGGCTAAGCAGTCTCTAAAGTTCTACTCCCAAGAATCTGCTGGTATCCATGCTTGCCGGCTGGGAGGGGTATTTAAGGAAGGGTGTCGGGAATGGTGCCAGGAGAGGTACCGGTTGGACGTGCTCAACTGCTTCGACTTCGCTTACTCCTCAGTGTCTTTGAAGGGTTTGCGGCTTCCGGGCGGAGAGTTCGGATGCTTGGCGTGGGTGGTCTGACGAGGTTTGGAAAAAAAGGTGAGCCATTGAGTAGGGACACGAGGGCCATGACCGCGAGAATTTGCTGCCGTTGCATTGTGTCTTGTACAAACCTTATATGATCCGCGTAGGATACCATCTGATTTGCTTATATTTCATATAACCCTATACAACCCTATATAAGCCTAGGCAGCACCACTGTTTTCTGTATTCCGTGGTCATTGAATCCCTGGGTGTGAAAGCGTCTTCACAGATACGGTTGAGAAGACGAGGCTAGCTGTTGATGATTCCATTTCCGTTGACCTGCGTGTCAAGTGACTTCACCATGCAAGCAGCCATGCTACTCCACGTACTTAGCAGTAGCACTGCTAGCAGTACCACTACTACGACCGCCACTGCTGCCACCGCCGCTGCCATGCAGTGCTCCTGCTCCTTTTGCTCCTCCCTTGCTGCTTCTGTTGGTTATATTGCTACTCCTGCTAGGAGTACACACCTCAAGCGCTTCAGGTCGTTACTTTTCTGCGGGCTGTCGACCTGTGGTTCCTGACCCCGCTGGGTCGCGAAGACTCTGGCTTGAAGTTCCCCAGCGTCTTCAGGACGTCTCTCCAGGGATGTGTGTCTCATCGTTTTTGATGACATCTCCAGCCTGACAAGCACACGCGCAAGAAGAGTATTTGCACCCACAGGAAGGGAAGGGCTGGGGGATGTGGCTTAAGGCTGAGCTTAGTTACGGTATTCTCTAGGGGCCTTGCGCCTTTTGGACGGGAAAGTCTGGTCTGGCACTTCATGAGTAAGTCTTTAGCAAACCTGCTAACTTGAGCAGCATCCATAGATCTGTGCAGTATCTCCGAGGTCTTAATCATGAGGCTCCATCCATTATAGTAGTTTCCATCTTCTTTTCCATCATTCCAATAATCCCAGTTCCATTTGCTTTTCCATTTGATTCTCCATTATGGGGTGCCATTATGGCCGGTGCCAGCTTTCGCGGCCCCACCAATCCGAAGCGTGTTCGTACCTAAATGCACCTGAAGGATACCTTCCAAATATGTAGGGTCCCCCATCAAGGTGATCAACAACCCAAGGCGCGAAAGGCAGGCTCCTCATGGTTTCACAGGCATGCCTTCATTGCTAAGAGCGCTTCACGTTTAAAACAGAGCCTTCAAACTCGGGGCCCCTGAACTCTGGCCTCCAAATTGCCTGCTTGATCGAGAAGTGTACCATAGTGACGCTCCGTTTGGGTACAGGGCTCCTCGGGTAAACAGGAGTATCATCAGTGATGTTGGGTGACATTCTTGCCCGCCATATACCAGTGCTGAGAACATGTGTCATAGTCAGAAGTTACAGTAAAGATGGACACCCAGAGCTGAAGTTTGAGGGTCCTCTTTTCAGCGCGCAAGCTTTAGCACATCCTTAGCTGCCGGACCCCCTGGAGGATAGCGCACATTAGCACCTTCGTGCATGAGATCCAGCTGTGGAGGGGCTTCCGCGAGCTTCGCAGACTGAAACAAGTGGCGATTTCTTTCGGGTTTGGGTTTGGGACCAGAACAAGGATACTTTCGGGGCCATCAGAGAATTGAAAGAAGCTACAGGTCTGTCTCACACCTGGCGATGGTTTCAGATGCTGGCTAGAAGGTAGGGTTCCCGTTTAGTTAGAGCATCCCTCGAAGGAAGCTCATTCGCAATGATCCTCTAGAAGGACCTTTAAGCCCCCCTCCCCTCCACAGTCTACACTCCTAGTACCCCTTTAATAAGCCCTATAATAGGAACCTATGAAATCCCTATATAACCCTCTTCAAGGAGTTTAGACTGTAGCACACACATGGACCTTTCGATTATTGAAGGGCTACTTTCGGGATCCTCAGCTGGGTGAGTAGAGGTATTGCTGTTCGTGGCCTTGGCGGCTTGAGGGTTGGCAATGCTGATGCGCGGAAATCCTAATCCTTGAACCCTAGATGAGCTACAGTCTAACCTCCTAGTATCCCCCTCAATAGCCCCTATGATACTACCATATACTACCCAATATAGATCCCTTTAAGGAGTTTAGACTTTCGCTCGGATTATGCCCTTGTAGAGGCTTTAAACTATTTCTGCAGAGGAACCCTCACTTCTGGCTGCAACCATGAGGCTTTGGATCGTGATCTCCCTTCTCCGTGAGACATTGCTGACCCTCTTGCTGCTTGGCTGCGCGTGCGATTTTAGAGCCTAGGCTTGGCTTTGTCATAAGGTAGACCCGTAATAAATAAGCCCCTTCCTTTTCAGGGCCTTCATATTAGGATCCCTATCATGATCTTTATTCAGGGGAGGGGATTTATTAGTCAGGGGTCTAGGTTCAGGGATTCCTGCTGTGCAGCCCGCAGTTGGTAGAAATTCGCCCTGGCTGGACACTGTTCCTTGGCGGCCTAGGCTTAGAAAGCCCCTCTGCTACACTTAGGGGTGATTTTGTATACGGGGCTACTTTGTCTTTGGAATGTATTGCATTGCCATGCACAGAGACCTTCTGCTGCTAGACATTTGTCTTATTTTTCAAAACTGAATGAAGAAGTCTAGAAAGCAGCAGCATGCGTTCTTGGAATCGGAGATCAAAGGGGCATGTCCGCGGGTACTTCCGAAGCACCGAGTAGATTGCAGGTTTAATGCAGCTGGCACATGGGCAACGAAGGAAGCAAAAGTAATTGGACTTTGCTTGCAAACGGGGGAAACTTCTCGGCGAGTTTTGTTGAGCAACAAAGCTAAGCAAGTTCTCTCTACAATCACACCGCTTTGGCACGACTGTAGAACCCTAATCCTGAAGGTCGCACAGCACGTTCCTGGGTTGCTGTTAAGGAACTTAACTTGAGTTTACTATATTGGGGAAACACTGTTATTTACTATATATATACCCATTTTGGTAACTCAATCTAAGTTCCTTAACAGCAACCCTAAGCCACAGTTTCCACATTTTTCTATTGTCTTTTCCATTTGATTCTCCATTCTTGGGGTAATATTCCTAAACCCTAAAACCCCAAACCCTGTACCCTAAAGCCTTAACAGCACTTTCTTAAGTTGGTGCGGCTTCCTCATTGTCGGCACGACCTGGGTCATGTCTGTGCTCATAACCATTTCCGTCCTGACGGATCGGAAGGCTGGGCCAGCGCGCTAATAGTCAAGGGCTTAGGGTTTTAGGGCTTAGGGTTTAGGATCTAGGGTTTTAGGGTTCAGGGTTTAGGGCTTTGGGGGTTGAGGGTTTAGGTTTAGGGCTTCAAGGATTCCAGGCTGGTACCTCTAAGGCTGTACGCCTACAAGGTTCTCCCAACAGAAACCTGGTATGGGCCCCATGTGAACCAACAAACTTTCAAAGGTGTCCCAGGGTACAACCCCGAACCCTTTGAGGGTCTAGGGGTTTAGGGCCCTTTCCCTCATAATAATAAAATAAACCACCCCATCCCCCCTAATATTAAGCACTCCCATCATGCGGTGGATTCTTATATATTGGGAGTATTTAATATTTTGGTTTGGGGGGTTTGATATTAAGGGGAGGGGACTAGTCATAGCAAGAGTGACAGAAGGGTTTTGGGCGTTGAGACCGAAACGCTTTTACTGCGAAAAGGTCTGGATTGGATGTAGAGCGGTGTTCACCTGGTTAAGGTTTCATAACAGCTCTGCGTGCTATGGCTTAGGGATACTTAGGGTTTCAGACTCGACCAGGGCATGGCCTTAATACGGGTCTTGCTTCTAGGATGACTGGGCCTAGGGATGAAACACGACAGGTTACAGCAATGGGTGAGGCTGCGAATTTGACGCTAAGAAAGCCTACCTGCATAATGTTGAGAGGGGCGCAGGCAGTCGAAGGCTAATGCTTTCTGCTTTTCATGTAGGTCTACAAAGGATTAGAACAACTTCAAGAATCCAAGCTGTCGATCTCGCACTTCGAGCCTAGCAAACCACAAACGCTAGGCCAACTGATATGAAGCCTGGTTCAACACCCATGCCAGCAGACTCCAAAGCACACCTGCAGGACTTTGATCTCAGCCGCAGTGTGTGGACCAAGGAGGATTACTGGGGCTCCGTAGGCCGGGATCCATTGCTTTAAGGTTCAGGAGCTTAGCTTCTTTGACTGAGATGACTCAGGCGAGCATTGAGGGTCAATAGTGGTATGCTCTTCAGGGTCACGGTGCTGGTGACATTTGGAGGCCGAGATTTCGCTTGGCACGCAGAATGCCAATTATACTCGTTGTAGTCATGATGTGGAGGAATGTTTTCGAGTGCAGATGTAGTGAAGACTTACTAGCTTCCTGCCAGCGTGCCTTGCCTGCAAGACTAATCTTGGCGTGACTGCCTGCCTTGCTTCTCGCCAGGCAAAACGGTGCCATGGCCGCATTTGAGATTTCCATTAACGTGATAGTCATTGTTGGTGGGGCTGTTCTGGTTTTTGGCGAGGACATGTTTTCTGGGACAGTCAATCGAGAGTTTTAGGCACGACGCGTGCCCTGCTGGAACCCGACCCGTAGCTTTGACAGGCATCACCTTGCAGTAAGCCTTGTGGCACCGGATGCTATCGTGGTATTTTTGCAAGAGAGGTTGCTTTATCCACAGATTAATGCAGAACAACAGGATCCTCGATTGCAGGCCCGCAACTCAACCCTTCTCATAGTGAACCTTCCCAGAATCTACGCAGATGTCTCCTCCTTGCCCTCTCTGGTACTCTTGCAGCTTCAGGTCATCACCATGTTCCAAGTACTTCTGCGCGACAAGTGGGCCGATTCCATAGTATGGCCCATGGTGCAGAATGACCGAGGGGGAAGGGATGTTGCGCGCATGCCGGGCTTGACAGCAAACGTGACCTCATAGGGCGACAGGTTAGCAAATGGACTGCGGGCATCGAACTGAGGGCCAGTCTTGAGTTTGTCAATCCTTACAGGAACAGAGGGCAAGTCTTGAATGTGTCAATCCTTACAGGGTGTAACTGGTAATCTTTGTGTCCCTCGCACCTTTGCGTGAGACTTTCAAATTCGGATGTTCTCGTCGCAGTGCTCTCACACTTCGTCCGCAGTCTTGGTCGAGCTTGACATCTTGCTTTGCTGTGCAGGTCATGCCCCTGCAACTGCTCTATGAGCTTCCTATGGCTTCCTCGAAACATGTCACAACTGCGAAAAGCTTTGGACAGAGCCCCACATGCCCTTGAGACCGTCATGTGCGCCTTTTGCCAGGACCCAATAGTTGTCTGGCACTCAGAAGCGAAGCGCCTCCTGTACATGCTGATTACCTTTAACTACTCCAGTTAGGGCCCTTGCATTTTGGCTCCTGGGGTAAATTGGATTGCTTTACACATGTATATATTAATATATATATATATAGAGAGAGAAAAGCATGTTTGGGGTCTATTTGGATGCCAATCTGATTTAGTTAATTCGGCAGGCCTTTAACAACAAATTAAATCGATTAGATATTTGGTCGATTTAATTGATTGAATTGGTTCGTAAGGCTTTTAGAGGCCCACCAAATTAAATCAATTAAATGGCTTGTGCCTGAGCCGTTTTCAGGATTGCTGGATTGTTTTATTTTTGAAAAACAGGCGAACCAACTAAATATATTTAGATGAGTTAGTTGAATTACATGGTTTCTACAGGTCCGCCATTTTTAGCCAGTTGGATGAAATACAAATGGTTAACTGATTTAATTGATGCAAGTGGTTTCTGAAGGTCTGCCAGTTCAATCAGTTAAATCAACGGCATATCTAATTGATTTTCTTGCTGTCATTGGTTAAGTTGATCTAAGTATATAGGTATCTATGTCTGCTCATGTATATTTCTCATTCAAGTGAGCATTGTTCCGCGTGAACGCCCGCTGGGTTCCAGCTTCCCTCAAAGGATTTGCTGGCACCATCGCCGTGAATTGCAAGTCAGACCAAGATTCGCGTGCGTTCCTGAACCCTAAACCCTAAACCCTAAACCCTTACCTCATACCAAAGGGGGTCATACCCGCAGTCGGAAGAGCCCAGGCTTTGTCCCAGATGCATTCTAAACTCCGTAAAGGGGGGTTGCATAGGGGATGATATAGGGGACTATTAGAGCGGTTATTGAGGGGGATACTGGGACTTCAGACTAGAACTCATGTGGAATGGGGCTTCTTAGATTTTCTGCGGTGCGCCTGTGAGCTTTGTGTATGCTTGCGGTAGCTTACCCTAAGGTTCCAAGTACC